AAGAGACAGAAATCTTAAATAAATAAATAAATTAATTAATTAATTAAAGAAAACCTAATCAAGTCAGTACATGAAAGGAAAAGAAGAGAAGAGAAGGGAGAGGTGAGGATGTATTGAGATTGAGAAGCAAAGCTTAATTCTTACCTAGTATTTGCTTTGGGCTGTAGGGAAAATGTCACCCTGTTTTTAAGACCCTTGCCTTGAAGGGTATACTTGAAGCATACTTTTCCTGATCTCTCCACTTTCTACAAATAAGAGAAAAGCAGGAGTGACAAAACAGACATACAATCAGGAAAATGGTGAGCACTAGGAAAGCTCCTCAGCTCAACGCAATGCCACACTAAGAATCAAGCAGTGCAGGGGATAATATAGACTTGGCATGAAGGAGACAATGAGACACTGGCTGCCTGCAAACTGACATTTCTTGCTAAAACCTCAAGCAATCATTGGTGTTAATAAAACTGCTGACATGGTGTTTCACTTAGTAAAGGAATGAACAAGAATAGTTACTCACAGGCATAGTCCCAGTCAATTGGGCATAGATGATTAACCTCTGACCCCTAAAGATGACAGTCTGCTTTGGGGAAAGCATGTTAGCTGACAGGCCAGCTGGCAAATCCCATTTCAGAGAGATGTCGTTCACTGAAGAGTTTAGAGCAAACTTCAGAGACCCAAGAGCCTGTTGGAAGACAGAGGAGCCAGAATTATACACAAGAAAGATAATACTGGTGGTCATCCATTGAGTATTTAGCAGGACCAAGGATGCAATGGATGCCTTATCAAGTCACAAGTGGTGAAAGAAAAATGCAATTCTTTCTCAATTATATGTACGGTAAAGTAACATTTGAGAGATGTAAAAGTGTAAGTGGAAATAGGGCAACACTTAAGAAAGAAGACTTCTGCAAAAGTCAGTCAGAGGAGTGATAGGAACAACATGGAAAGAGAAGCTTAGAAATATCAGAAATATAGTGTTTTTCATATACTAATCAAGGAATGTGAACTTATGCCTTTGAGTCTATCACTCTCACACCTGCCTATCTTTTCCTTTCTGTCTTTTTCATGGAGAATAAATTTCTACCTGATCTATTCAGAGTATAGACTACAGACTCAGACAGAGCAGCCAAAGCTTTCACCTTCTCTTTCTAGTCTTGAAAAGAAAAACCACAAACTCTTTATTTATCTTCTCTCTGGCTTTCCAGCTACCACAGTTAGATGCCAGTCTTTAGATGTTGTAATGAACCCTTTCTAACAAAGTACCAAGTAGATTCACTAGTGGATAGCCCCGAACTTATGAAAGTGTGTCCTCCTGAAGAGTGGAGCATCTGCCTTTGCAGCACGGTTCCTGTTGCGCCTCATACTCACTCTGGACGTGCAACTCTGGACACTTGGCCAACTCTCACCTTGGTCTGCATCCTGTTCTTGCCTGTGATAAACTGTGCAATGCCCCCTGATACCCGGGCGATGCTTTTGATTAAACTGGTGGAGGCTCCTTCTCCAATACCAAAAGAGAAACATCTGCAACATTGAAATGATGGTTAGAGACAGGTTTTCCATGGTAGAATTACCAATTAACATGGACAAAAACTCAAGAAGACTAAAGATACTTACCTGAAAGTCAGTGCAAAGGCATATTTAGAAATCAGATCCTATTTCTATGGGTTTTAATAAATGCTTAAATAAGTTATATAATTTAATGTCACAAGTCTACTATGAAGAAAGGTTTCATTTCATTTGTTAATGAAGATCTGGAACTCAAAAACTTTGCAAAATCTGTCCTAAGTCCTATTTATTTATCTTTTTAACCTATGAATTTCCTCTAGTAAAATATATAGTAGTCAAATAAATAAATGAAAACATTTTAGAAAATATAAATAGTCAAGTAATGCACAGACACACTGGCTGATACATTCAGTATCTGTGTGATTTTCTTTAATGTCAGCCATCAGCCCCAAATTTCATGACATGGGGCCTTAAAATTAGTGTTTTCAATATGTAAGCATGAGGGTCAAAGTTTATATTGTAGTTTTATTTCCTCTCGATAACTTATAAAGCTGTCACTATTGGTTTTAGCATTTTTAATTTAATTGATAAAACAGACAGATGAGTGGAATTTCCGAACATTTGTCACGTGGAAGACCTAGAGGTGAAATACGTGGCTTCTTAAGAGATTCTGACATTAAAGAACTCAGATACAAGGATCAAGACAAAACACTGTGAATTATACTCAGAGAAATACTAGACTAGGTTATTCAAGCCAGAGTGAACTAGAGATCTATAAACAGTAATTTTAAAAATTCGTGTAGAAGCAGACAACTACCAAGACAATAGCTCCAATGCTGTTAAGAGAATATGAACTTATGAGCCACGACTTTGAAATGGAGAAAAGCAAAGGGAAATGAGCCTGTATATGCTGTCCACTTACTAATCGAAGCATGTGGCAAGTGTGGATGGCTGAACACCTAAGCAGTTTCAGAGAAGGTACAAAATTGTAGAGTTTTGAACTTTTCCAGTGGAAGGTATTCTTGAAAACACCTGAGAACTTTTCATAGCACAATGCAGAAATACTAAAACTTAAGAGGTAGAGATATGTAAGAAATGGCCCAGGTATGAAATTCATCATACTCTATCAGTATTAAGTTTGTTGGTTCTTTGTCTGAGCACCCATAGAAATCAAAGAGGAAGACCTATCAGAGGAAAATACCATTTAAATACCAAGAGTCCTAAAACATCTACTAAGTCCACTATGTCTGAAGAGCACATTGTCCGTTTCTAATAAAAAATTAAAACAGAAAATTTTCATAAAATAGGAAAAGTGGAGGGTTTCTATCTAATTTTTTTGATGCTAGAAGTACCTGGGTAGAAAAATCTCACAATATAGTTTGAAATTCATGGGATTTCTTCTCATTGATAAATATTCAATGTCCTAAGCTACATAGGTCAAATGAATTCCAGAAGATGTGGCAAATATTGTTCATTAATAATGAGATGGGTTTGCCCAAAATTGCAAGGTGGTACTAAGATGTAACCATATTCACCGTTTCCACATAAAATAATAAAGAATAAAACCACCACCTACCTCAACATGTGGATAAAGTTCATTTGTTGAATTCAATCATCATTTATTATTCAGATATACACACTGAGTACATACATGTGCATAGTGAAATCATGACTAAGAAGAAAAGAATGGAAGAAAGGAAGGGAGAAAGAGAGGGAGGGAGGGTGAATGGATAGAAGGAAGGAAATCTTGATAATGAGCAGAATAGATGTTCTAGTGCACTGGAAATTAAGAATTACCAGAGAAATGATTAATTCACATGGTGTAGTCTTCGAATACATTCAGTGACAAAAAAAATATAAAATTACCAAATATCTGTAGCAAAATGAACTGGAAGTATATTTTAGACACTCTAAAGGAAGAAATTATAGATGCTGGTAGATAATCCTAGATTATTGGGACTTAAACCAGGAAAAGTGAAAGTTCAAATTTTTGTTTGGCAATAAAGATTCGAGGTAAGACTCTGTCTCAACCTAGATGCCCTTCAGTGGAAGAATGGATGAAGAAAGTGTGGTATATATACATATTAGATTACTACTCAGTGGTAAAAAACAATGACATCTTGAATTTTGCATGCAAATAGATGGAAATAGAAAACACTTTCCTGAGTGAGGTAACCCAGACCCAAAAAGATGAACATGGGATGTTCTCACTCATAATTGGTTTCTAGCCATAAATAAAGGACATTGAGCCTATAATTTGTGATCCTAGAGAAACTAAATAAGAAGGTGAACCCAAAGAAAAACATATAGTCATCCTCCTGGATGTTGGAAGTAGACAAGATTGCCAGGCAAAAATGGGAACTTGGGGGTGGGGTGGGATAGGGGTTTGGGGAGATTGGGAGAGAAAATTGAGAAGGGGTGGATGGGGAGTGCTTGGGTAATGGGATGTTTGGGATAAAGGAAGGGTGTATATGGGAGCAGGGAAGTATATATCCTAATTAAGGGAGCCATCTTAGGGTTGGCAAGAGATTTGACTCTAGAGGGGCTCCCAGGTGTCCAGGGAAATGTCCCCAGTTAGTTCCTTGGGAAGCTGAGAAGAGGGAACCTGAAATGGCCCTATCCTATAGAATATCTTGCATATCACCATAGAAACTTCATCTGGCAATGGATGGAAATAGAGACAGAGACCCACATTGGAGCACCGGAATGAGCTCCCAAGGTCCCAATGAGGAGCAGAAGGAGGGAGAACATGAGCAAGGATGTCATGACCGTGAGGCCGTGGGGCTGATCTATTGGGAACTCACCAAGGCCAGCTGGACTGGGACTGAAAAAGCATGGGATAAAACCAGACTCTCTGAACATGGTGGACAATGAGGACTGCTGAGAAGCCAAGGACAGTGGCACTGGGTTTTGATCCTACTGCATGTACTGGCTTTGTGAGAGCCTAGTCTGTTTGGATGCTCACCTTCCTAGACCTGGATGGAGGGAGGAGGACCCTGGACTTCCCACAGGTCAGGGAACCCTGACTGCTCTTTGGACTGGAGAGGGAGGGAGAAAGGAGTGGGGGGAGGGGGAAGAAATGGGAGGCGGGGAAGAGGCAGAAACTTTTTCATAAATAAATAAATAAATAAATAAATAAATAAATAAATAAATAAATAAAAAAAAATAAAACAAATGCAAACAGAGTTGAGTGCTGGGACAGAGCTCGGTACTGCAGGTGAATCTGGTGCTGAGTTTCTTAATTTAAAACTGGACGGGAGATAGTCTATGTGTCAGAAAAAGCTTCTCTTTGAAACTATGGTTACTAAACAAAACCCCAAAGCTAAGAAATGTATAACTACTTATGAGTTGTTGTTCAAGGAAGCCCAGAAAACAAGAAAGAGTCTTGCCATTGCTCATGGTTGTCTACCTAAGAGAGATGCTAAGACTCTAATGTTGAAGCCACCATACCCCTTGGTTGTATGATACAGAGAAATCAAGAGATACTATAAAAGTTGCTGAGGGGAAAAGGTGTCTATGATCTTAAGCATCTGTGAGCCCTATGAACTATAATATTATCTGTCAGAACAATATACTCACTAACGCAATAGTTGTATGACCATTATGGGAATAACATCCTAAGTATCAGTGAGAGGGGTATTCATAGCCTTCAGTTGTATATCCAAGGGTAAACCTGCCAAGATTCAATGGACAGCCCCAATCCAGTGGTAGTAGAGATGGCAATGATTAAACAAAATTGGTCACACTATAAAACAAAAAGACATGAACTAAAAAAAGCACAGGTAGAAAAGGGAAGATTGTTGAAGATGTGGGGGAGATGGGAAAGGGTGAGAAGAGAGAGTAACTAGAATGTGTATTATATGTGTGGAACTAACAAAGAACCAAAATATAGAGTAAAATCATTTGAAAGGAAAGGTAAACTATCTACATAATTTGAATAGAAAAAATAACTTTACAGAGTACATGCAAAATTCATAACTCCAAAGAGAAACTTAAGGGAATACAAATTAAAATGGCAATTACTTGAGTAAGGTGTGGTACCAGAAAATTACTTGAGTAAGGCTGCAACCCAAGAATTCTAGAAGAAAAGACTGGTGAAAACACACCCACTGAGGCCAGACTGATCTTACTAAAGACCAGTCAGAACTGCATAGGGAAGCCTCTTAGAAAACGAAGTAGAGGAATAATCTTAATAGTGAAAATGTAAGCTACAGAGTAAGAAAATAGTCATTATTCATTTATAGTTGAATAGTCAATTCAACTATAAAATCAAATACATCTCAGCAAAAAAAGAAAATTTACTAGAGAAAATAATAACAGTAGTATGGAGATTTAAAAGAATACCAAAATGACACTCTAAATATGAAATATTAAAAGTTGAATGAAGTAGAACTATCAGAAAAATAAAACTTTAAACCCTGAGCAACTTTGGTTCCCATGCACAAAACTGGGTAAATTTTAAGAAAATAAACACTCAAATTGTGAGGTAATGAAGCAACTGGAATCCATTTGTAAAGCTGATTTGACTTAAATTACTACAGCATGTGAAATAGCCTTTCCACAGAAATTGGACAACTCTGTCTACTTAAAGAACAGTACAGTTCATGTGACTCTGCTTTGCTTTCTGTAGAGTTGGAGTCCAAGATCCCTTCTAAATACACAGTATCATGTGTCTTTAGCTAACTCATATTTTCCCATGTAAATTAAATCTCCAGTAGATGGCTCATGATAGGTAATACAATCACTACAGAGACCAAAGAAAGTCTGTCATTATGAGAATCAATATAAAATATTCTGAGCTACTTCATGGGAAAACACACTTATGTAACTTGAATATGATTACATACGAATTGTGTGTACATATAAACAAACTGGTGAGATAAAGAAGAAGGTGAGGTATATGGAAAGACACACAAACCACAAAACTCAGTAGGATAGCAAATCAAGGAAATTTCACATAATCCATTAAAATTTTATTTGAGCCAGGTTTAAACAAGTGAGTTGTGGAAAGAGCAAGAGAAGATTGATAACTGCCTAGCTCCAGACCTGTGGTGGATGCACAGGGAGCACACTTTGATAACTAATCTGCCCAGATAACAATGATTTGAGTAACTTTCTATGTTAATTTACCAGTGTCTTTATAATGAAAATGAAATCAATATATCCTTTAGAGATTTGCAAAAATAAGGAACACTGACGTTGTGGTATCAGTGTTAAGTGGAAAAATAGTTTTTAAAATTTTATAGAAATTAAAGGATCAGCTAGTTAACTGGAAAGCCCTTGAGTTACTTCGTCCCTTTAGAAGCATGAGATCCCATGATATCATGTGGAACATGTTATATATGGTGCTGCTTACTTACAGTCCAGTCAGAAACTTAGAAACCGCACTCTCCCCATACCTGTGCTTCTTGCTGTTTAACTGAACTTCTTTAATGACACTAAATGCGGCATCAACTTCTCCATCTGTGAAGACAAAGAGCTGAAAAACAAAGAAAAAGATGCATTCATCAAGTTTCTGTTGAGTTCATCAGGGGACAATAGCATTGGTCCTCATGGCCCACAACTATTTCCAGTCCTTGTAACTTCTTCACACGGGGCTGGGAACCCTAGTGCTCCACTGTCATTTACATGTGGCCACAGACACTCTTTACTGGGAAGAGTTTCATACCCTGGAAAGTTTCACATCCTCCCCATGAACCTTGCATCTTAAACTTTCAAGGTACCACAAAAGACTGTAGATTCCATGCCCTCAAGGAATAGAGGAAGAACACTGCCTCTGATGTATTTTCTCTTCATTCTATGGCAGACGGTTTAAACTTACACACTATTTACAGAATTATATTGGGAGAACTGGTTAGTGGAAAATTTCACAGTTTTTTCCTCTCAGCTTGGCTCTAAAGCTCACCTGTAAGGGATGTCCAGGAATGGAGGGAGCTTTGTAAATATTGCAGAGTGGTTTCAAGATTTCAGTGCCTCCTAGGTCTGCTTTTAAATCCTTCACCCTTTGCACTGCCTTCTCCATTGTTTCCTGAGTGTACTTCACACTCTCCCTTAGAGAAACAAACATGTCTAGTCACATGGCAATAGTGCACATTGCTATTCCTATTGCAAAATTACTATCACAAAAATTGTTCCTGAAACCCCCAGTGTTGAGAACTACTCTGCACTAGTCAGATTAAAATTACAGCCCCTACTTTAAAGTACATTCTTTCACAATCCATAGTCTTCCCACAAACTTACGGAAAGAATTTTTCATAGGAAGATCCAAATCCATAGATGTTGAAATAACAACCCATAGGCAAACTCTTCAGCAACAGCAGGAGAGTTTCCTGAGGGTGAGAGAAGATGAGGAGATGGAGTGAGGGAAAGCTCTACCAAACATCCAAACCCTGGTCTGTTTCCTAATGGTATAAATTATAATCTAATGGTATATTATAATATTATATATTGTTATATATTATAATATAATGGTATAAATAATAGTATAAAAGACATCATCTTTTGTCACCTTTCATTTCAAGGCTGAGATCAGAGTGGCCACACTTGTTACTGCTCAGATGAAGAATGGACCTACCGCTATGACTTGACCATACACATGCCCTTCCCAACCATCCTCACATGGCACTGCTGAACAATGAACAATGAAGATTCTGGCTTTACCTTGGCAGCCTCTATGCGTAGCTGAGAATTCTGGTTGTTCATTGGTAATCCCATACTTCCTGAGCGGTCCATGAGGAACACAAATTCTCCACGGGCCTTTGAGAGCTCCACTTCTGGGATGTCTGGATAGAAGCTCACCATTGCAGAAGGAGCTCCCATCAAACTATCTGTATAGAAAGGAGAAAACCCTATAAGGTACAAGGAAATTCAGGTGCTCTAAAGTCTCCAAGAACCAATCATCAATTCAATACAGAACTGAGAAAACTCAAATACAAAGTTTGTTCTTTTTGTGCTGTGTGCAAGAATAGCGTTATTTTGAATATGTAAAGTGCATTTCTCCCCACACTGAGAGACAGGTGGTTTTCATGACACTAGCATTCTTCTGAGAAGCCAGATGCTCATGAGAATGATGGGAATGGATGCCCACACTCTTTAGAACAGGGCCGTGTAGGCAGTAAACTGTTCTCCATTTATAGTGTAGGCTAGTTCTTTCAAACCAATTCAAATGGTTTCACTTCATAAGTCAGAGCTTCCTTGTTTATAATTGAGCACCTCTGCTTTTTATCCCCAGTTTCATCTTCTGAAACAACAAGGTAGTAATTAGTACTATAGAGTTGTTGTAAGTTTAGGTGATACAATATGCTTACAGAATCAAGGTAGGGCTTAACTGACACTAAGCTGTTAATTATAATTTTATACATTTTTCTTCTATCAAATTTGTGCAATTTAATACCTTAAGTTTATCATATTATTTAGTTTAGAGTGCTATGTCTCATGTTGGTATCATATTAACGGTTTTACTGAGCCAAGTTGCCACTTAAGCTTCTCTTGTATTTCCAAAGTGTATGAGAACAGGAATATACCTGGCAAAATACATGCCCTGGGAAACAAGGATTAGAAATCACAGATGGAAGAGATTATCAAGACTAAAATATGAACAGTTATGTTCCCTGATAGCCTGTCTGGACACCTTATCACAGAAAAGAGTTGAAAAATCTTCATGAGACCAAGGGGATGGCAGCTATTACATAGTAAGTCACAGCATCATGAGGTTCTAATCATGGATTAAAACATTCCTGACTGAAGACCAAGTCTGAGTTTAAATACTTCATGAGAATCCAAAACAGAGACCAAGAAAATCAACAGCAACAGATAGAGAAGAGCTACTGGGAAATGAGGAAGTTACAAGAATCCCAGGAAAGTTGGAATTCCCCTCAGTGACTTCAGAGAAATTTGACCAAATAATGAGGGAAGTAGAAAAAGTCCCTATGTGTGGTTCAATATGAGGTCACCTTTACAAATATTGAAAATGTTATATGTGCAGTGGTTGGCTATGGAAACTCAGCTTCTTGGTAAAGTCCTCACAGGGCTTTGACAATTACAGCACCATAAGCCCAAGCCCAGCTGTCACACTGTGAACACAACTGGCCCCCAAGGAACTTCTATATATCCAACTTGCAAATAAAGATTTGCAGCAACTTTGTTGGGTTGTATGATGATCCCTGCACCCCAGTGCAGAATGGGTCAGAAAAATCAAAGAGATAAAATACCCATGTGGGCTGTGCCAGCTTGAATAAAAGTTAAGTGCACTTATAAGGAAATGTTCTAAGTGACAAACACTAGACGTACATAAGAAACAAATCTCACTGACAAGCTAAATTAGGTCTATGAAAAATTCAAGTGTGCCAAAAGAAAAAGTTTGAGCTGCATTCTTGTAATTTTTGTTTTTCAAAGTTGAATTTCTACTGGACAAAGAGGACCTAAAATTAACTCTGTGTTTAATTTGGTCATTCCTCTTATTACTAAGACAAAAATGAAAGAACCGGCAGCAAGATTACATCCAGGTGTGGTGAACTAAAGAATAAAACATAATTACTTAAAGTGAAATTATTATTTGTCTAAGAAGAACTACTATTTGCATATTGTCTGGATTATAATACTGCTATTTTCCTAATCCAATTATTATTTTATAGTGATATTAGGAATTAAAGCTACTTTTCCTATCCCATTATTTGGATAACTTCTATGTAAATTTTTCAATCTAAAGTTTTTGTTGTACATTATCATAGTAATGACATTATAACTCATTATATAATGGGTGGGATGACACAAGTAGTGACTGAATTACATTTTTCATCACTTAGTAATTTGGATATAATATAATTATAATATCAGTCAATATCACCTGCATATCAGATAGACATCTATATTTATTTGAGAAGAAATACTGTAAATATTAGAATTGTCTAAATGAATATTTGCTTTATTATTTGCACACTAATTGTTTCAAACCAGTTGGAACAAACTGATTTGTTTCAATACCATTTAACACTGTAAACTCACAACACAATGTAAAGCATGAGACTTCATCAGATTTGGACATCACTGATTCTTCCATATGAGAAGTAGTCACAAGATTATATTTATTTGTCATTTTTGTAAGACCAGTCATTGCCACATGGTAATAAGGGGTTTTATGTATTTTCTTGTTAATTATTTAGTCTTATTTCCCTCTAATTATCTAGTAATCTATGCAAATTAGCCTATGGACATAATCACCTGAAGCCCAATCGTTATTCCATGTGAGAGTGAAAAGTCAATTATCTTAATGACTATATTCTGATCTTGCTTAGAGGTAGAAAAACCCAGGTTAACTTGGAGTTACATCATAGAAAGGGACCAAAGTGGGAGACAGAAAATACCTGGCTTCATGTCCTGCATCCCCATCTCCACTGCTACACTGGGGCTGTGCACTTCATTGTAATAAATCAAGAGTTCCACATCCCGGTCAAACTTGTGTCCTTCAGCCAAGGAAACCTGAGAAGAAAACCAGCAGAGAAGCCATGTTAGAACTGCCACTGGTCACTTCCTGAGATAAGGTAAGAATTTGGGCTTCTTCCATCGGGAGCACAATCAGAAGGAACAGGAAAGACTGTATGGAAAAGGGTCTACACTTTCCCCAGAGCAGGGAAGGTAGATATTGTGTCTCTCCAAGCATGGCCAGAAGATGCAAGGGAGATGCGGGAAGAATGAATGATGACCAAGTCAACAATGAAGACAGAGGAGACTGACAATGGTGTTCTCTTTCTGTTCACCTGAGCAGATGTCTTGTCATCAGCCAGGTACTGCATGGGACTCAAGGAGCAGTTGGACTGGACCCTCTCAATGCCATGCTGGGAAGTGATGGTAGCAACCATGCTGAGTGTGTAGGGAAGGTCCTCCAAAGGGACCATGGGAGTATATATATTCAAGGAACTCTTCGCTGACTTTTCTATAAAAAACAGTACATTAATTATCTTTCCCATGACAACGATTTCCAAGACAAACATAATTTTGTATTTTTCCCCAGCCTTTCTATGTCTAGTTTTCAGAAAAAGAAATTACTTACCAGAGAGCTGATATCTTGGATTCAAGATGGCTGGGAGCACATAGCGCAGGGCCCCATCTGTCTCCAGAGGCAGCTCTTGCACATACCTCAGGGTCACTGCCACCTTGGCCCCAGGCTGGAGGTTCCCCACATTGCAAGAAAAGACATCCCTGGAGTAGTCATCCTCTTCCAATAAGTAAGCTTGGTAGCCCTGGGAGAGGGCATCCTCATAGATGCTATGGGCCTAGAGCAAGGGCAAGGTAAGTTGAAATGAAATCACAAGGGTTCAAGAAAATACTACTTGTTCAGAGGGAGTGTCATGGATTCTATGGACTATGCACAATTATTTTAATAGCTTCTACCCGATTGTCTCTGTCTTATTGATTTAGACAAATCATAATTAGACATGACAGAAAGACAGAACAGTCAGCATCAGTACTTATGAATTGTTGATAAAGATAATAGTAGAATGCAATTTGAAAGATGGAAGAAAAGAGATAACAAACTCATCCTTCTGACCTGCATCTTTTCCTGCAATTCGGCCACAATTTTCTTCCCATCCACCAAGGCTTCAAAGCTGTAGACAGCAGAGTCTTCATCCATGGGGAACACAAAGATTGCCTCCAATGGGACTTTCTCCTCATTCTCATAATTTAAGGTTGCAGAGACACTGGCCACAAAGTCATTTATGGACAGGGTTACTGAGATGCTCTTCAGTGGCACTGGAGAAGATACAAATGTAGAGGAGATCAGCAAACTTTACTATACTGGCACCATAGATGAGGAGTTTTGCTGGGTCCAGTTACCTCATCACTACGATTTGTAAGTCAGGCTTACCTGGTTCCTTGTTGCCAGTGATTAGACCACAGTAGTGCTCCATTCTTAGTGCCTGTGTCTGTGGAAATGACACATCTTTAAGAGAATTTTGATAGAGTTACAGCATCAGTAATACAGCTTCTGTTCTCTCTTGCAGGAGCAGCTTCAAATTCTTAGGGTGGGAATAAGGATCCATGGAGGGGAGATGCTGGTGGTGACTCTCCTGATTAATGCTTCTCAGGTGGGGAGGCTTTAAGTGTCCACTAACAGGAAATCACCAAAATAACCTCAAATGACCTTAAAGTGCTACAAACACCATTCTATATTTACAAACAGTGTTAAGTGAACTGTCCACAGGAACCTGAACAGGTCCGATAATTTAACCTCAGCATTCTTAATCCAGTATAAGAGGCATTTCTAATATTTTATTTACTCTTAGGTTGCATGTAAGAGTGTTTGCCTGCACTTCTGTGCATCATGCGCAGGAAGATACTCTTACACATAACGTGTTACACAAAGCAGAGGTCAGAAGAGGATATTGAATCCATGGGGACTGGATTTACAGATGGTTATGATCTGGCATGTAGAACCTAGGAGCTGCTGTTTGGTTCTACAGAAGAGAAAGCAGAGCTCTTAAAGACGAAGTAATCTCTTCTGTACCCATTCCCTGTCCTTCCCATGAATAATTATGTGATCCAAATGGCACTCTATATTATGCTTCTTTTAGTCACTTTTCTTTAAGTCTTAGTAGTGAAACTAACCACTGTTTTGTTTTTTAGTCCAACACAGAGAGTAAATAAGTGACGTGGTGTCATCTGTATCATCCTGTCACTCCCCCAACACCTTTCACATTGCAACCAGTGCTCAGAGAACAGGGAGAAGTTTCAGTAAGTTCCTAAGAGCCCGAGGTGAAGGAGGACTACTGCAAGTCGGTGTCTTCTGTCCATGACAGGGCCACTGTAATCGTGAGCTCAAAGCAGGTTTTCTTACCTGCACAAGACATGTACCATCAATCCAGTCAATATTTCTGCATAGATCTGGGAGGGGTGCATGCAATCCAGTCCTTACCTGAAGAGGTTTGTGTTTGATACTACTTGGAATGGGGCAGTCATTTTTCTCCAGGGACTTGGTCCATAGTAGGTAACCCATACTCCAGTTGATGACCCTGCACTCATGTACATATTGGGAACATTATGGGATTCAATAGGTTGAGAAAAATAAAAGAATAGGCTTTTGGGAGAGGGACTTTTTACTGGTCAGGAGAAGCTGGAAGGTGAGACTCAAGTGGATATAATAAAATATATTGTATACACCTATAAAATTTTCAAAAGATAAATTGAAAATATTCATTTTAAAAGATATTCTAAGATATAAAAAGAACATATGTATAATATTTTTCTCTCTTTTAAAACAGACTTTCCTAAATATATTTCTTGAATGCAATATGAAGAAAAAGAGATGGATTAATTTTACCAGGTTATGATTTACATGATTATTTTATCCACACAGTCTAGAGATTGGGCTAATCTGAATTATAGTCCAAAATAAATGTGGAAGTTGTTATGGGCCTTTCTAAACGTGACCCCTTGCTAGCTTGGTTCTCCCTGTTGTCACTGTATGTGACCATAGTGGCCAACAGTAAGAAGGGTGGTTTCCCCTGGAAATTTGTCCTAAGGACCCTAAGTGCACAACAAGGAGCACACATCATTCTTGTTCAGATGCCAAGGATGAGTCCCCTAGAACTCCAGGCTTCTCTTTCACATCTACAGGCTGAAAAACTTTCTGGAAGGATTAGCTTTCCATCCCTGGTAATCCCAATCAGCAATTTTGAAAGCTGTGCAGGGCTGTTGCTAGGTCCTTCAGGTTGAGCCTAATGACTATTTAAATCTCTCAGTCTGTGGTTATGGCTCAGTGCAAAAAAAAAAAAAATTGTCAGCTTGTACAACATCCTGAGTTCCATAGCTAATCCTTAGGCCAGGCTGAAGGCTGGGTACACCTCCTTAGTCTCTCTATAAACCAACCCTCTGATATCAGTGGTGTTTCCTAGAGATTTCCTATATATTTCAGTCAAAGAATGGGCTGTTTTCTACATCTGCTATTTTGAGCTATTGGAAGAGTCTGACCGCATTAGAAAGGCTCAGATCTGGCCATTAGTACAGAGGCAGCAGCTAAGCAGGAAAGAGGAGGACAGCAAGCCCTGGGAAGTACTTTCCCTGGGAACCAGTAGGTGGGCCTGGAGCAGGGGGAGAAGAATTTCTACTGACAGCAGCAGGAAGCTTACAACAGGACACTCACTGAGAAGCAGCTCAGCTTCAGGATGGACTGTGTCTGAGAGCAGAGATGTCAGGCTGGCAGTGACCTCTGGAGGAGACCGAGAGGGGAGAGAGGAGGACCACGGTTCCCTACAATGAAACACTGATTTCCTAATCCAACCTCAGAACAAATTTCCCTCTCTGAGTCTTTCACCATCTCCCAACCATTTCCTTCTTCTGCAAATTGTGGTAAGGCCTTGAGAAAAAGAAAGACAGGCTCCAGAGGTACTAAAGTTACAGTCCTAAACTAGGTGCCTCTATAGAGCTAACCACTCAGTCAGTACCAGCTCAAGTACAGACAGGGGTGAGTCACCCGGCCACACCCTGCGTATTCTGGCTGTTTACTGCTTTTGGGAGTGAGGAAATCTGTGCTTTAAATCCAGAAAACTGATTACTGTAGCCTCTCTATCCAGGCCTTCTGTGACAGATATTCACAAACGGCACAAGTTCCACCACTTGGATGTGAATAGAGAAGGTTCAGGGCCTGCAATGCATCGGGTGGGTGGAGAAGGAAAGCTCCACATCCTTAGGACAAACATACCTAAAACTGAGAAGAAAAACAAAAACAAACAAGCAGACAGACAACAAAGACTATTTTGTGAGGTAGAGGAAGAGTGAGAAGAAGAGGGATTAAGGGAGAAGAGAAAGAAAGAGCTGCAGTGGAGGGGGTGAACCTGAAATTAAGATCATTTATGTGTTATCAACTTAGAAAAATCTCCAGATATCACAAAGCAGGATCAGTTTCTAAAAGGCATTTACAGTTCTTCGTGGGGTTGCCTAGCATAAGAGGCTCTTACCCTGTAGATGCAGCAGGTAGGGTTCTCTCCAGAGAGCAGAGCAAAGTCTTTACCCACTTTCTCAAATCTCCTCAGCTTATAGCAGCTTGTAAAAGAAAGTGAAAGCACCTACTGTCAAACTTCTAGGAAGACCTGCCCCCTTCTAGGGACCAGCTATAAAGTTTCAATTGCATGATAAAGGGATGGACTGAAAATTCTCAGCCTAGTATTAGATTTCTGCTTCTGTGTTGATGAAAGTGTTTTGCTGAAAATTTAGGGAAATTACTTTAAACTAAAATCAATCAGAAGAGATGGAGAGGGACATTTTATACTCATAAGAGGAACAATTCATCAGGATGAAGTCTCAAACCTAAATATCTATGCCCCTAATATAAAAGCACCCACTTATGTAAAAGAAACATTACTAAAACTCAAGACAGTCATCAAACCACACACACTAATAGTAGGAGACTTCAACACTCCTCTCTCACCAACAGATAGGTCAATCAGACAGAAACCTAATGGAGAAATAAGAGAATTAATGGAGGTAATGAATCAAATGGACTTAACAGACATCTATAGAACATTCTACCTAAATAGGAAAGAATATACCTTCTTCTCTGCAGCTCATGGAACCTTCTCGAAAATTGACTACATACTCAATAGCAAAGCAAACTTCCACAGTTACAAAAAAAATATTAGTAACCACCTATGTCTAATTGGATCACCATGGATTAAAGTTAGAATTCAACAACATTTGTTTAATACTCTAGTATAAATGTGAACAAACAAATGTTCTTGATTGATATTATCATTCCCGTGGCAAATTTGAATTGTCACCACATTTTTAATAACTGGCATAATTTTCTTTTATATAAAGAAAATCTTCTAATTTCAAACAAAGTGAATGAAACTGAGTGAATTTTGAGTTTAAAAAAGGCAGTCCCAAATGTACAAATCCCAAATGAGTCTACTTATAGAATAGAAAATATTTAAAAGAGTTAAATTCATGGAAGAAAAAAAAAGCAACCCAGCAATGGTTACTAGAGACAAAGTGGAGCTCTTCAATTGGTACACATCTTTAGCAAAGTAAGCAAGGAATATATTCTGTACATTATAGTTCATATAAGTGCATATAAGGAAAGATGTGATACTACTCACTAAAAGCTTCAGAAGGCAGATCTCATGTTAAACATTCTGTTAAGAAAACAAAGGGACATAAGAAAAACTTGAGAAGTGATACATGTACTAACTATCTTAATCTTGATGGTATTGTCAGGAGTGTTTATATATATATTTCCAAACTGTTCAAATCACATTTCATTAAATATATGGAACTGACCTTACAGCTATTGTACTTCATAAAAAGCACCAACAACTAAAAACTTCATTCTGTAATCATTTTGGTATTTTACTGATGACTTGTCATCTCTAGTGTGCGATAGACAAAGCTCAGACAGCTGATAGGAGAAAGGTTGCTTGGAATTCTAGAAATAGGTCAAAGGTATGCAAAGGCAAAGGCAAAGGCAAAGGAAGCAGTAGTATTTTAAAGTATTTGTCAGAATCAGACTTCAGGAGATGACATTGGTCATGTAAGGTAGGTCAGGGCTTCACCAGTGTTGGCAAAGCCACAATGATTAAGCAAGAGAAAAGCACTTTACTGATGCCTATATGTTTTTCTTTGGGTTCACCTTCTTATTTAGCTTCTCTAGGATCACGAATTATAGGCTCAATGTCCTTTATTTATGGCTAGAAACCAAATATGAGTGAGTACATCCTATGTTCCTCTTTTGCGGCCTGGCTTACCTCACTCAGGATAGTGTTTTCTATTTCCGTTCCTTTACATGCAAAATTCAAGAAGTCATTGGTTTTTACTGCTGAGTAGTACTCTAATATGTATATATTCCATACTTTCTTCATCCATTTTTCTATTGAAGGGCATCTAGGTTGTTTCCAGGTTCTGGCGATTACAAACAATGCTGCTATGAACATAGTTGAGCATATGAATATTAACCTTCATCAGGCAATGAAAGGAGACAGAGACAGAAACCCACATTGGAGCACCGTACTAAAATCTCAAGGTCCAAATCGGGAGCAGAAGAAGAGAGAGCATGAACAAGGAACTCAGGAATGTGAGGGGTGCACCCACACACTGAGACAATGGGGATGTTCTATCAGGAACTCACCAAGGCAAGCTGGCCTGGGTCTGAAAAAGCATGGGATAAAACCAGACTAGCTGAATATAGCAGACAATGAGGATTACTGAGAACTCAAGAACAATGGCAATGGGTTTTTGATCCTACTGCACATACTGGCTTTGTGGGAGCCCAGGCAGTTTGGATGCTCACCTTACTAAACCTGGATGGAGGTGGGTGGTCCTTGGACTTCCCA